AAAGCAATAAATTAATGTGCTACTAATTTATATGAATCGTAGATTTAATTAAGTTCAAAAACTTATGTGTATTTAAGAGTATTTTGGCAGAAGTTCAGCTTTGTAAAATCCAACTGGAATTGAAGTTTAATCGGAGTTGAAGTAGGATTTTATGAAAAAGGAGTGGAGTGGTGTAGGGTTGGAGCGGAACACACTGCAGCTGAAATTGATGTGAAGTTTTAGAAAATAGGACTGGAGTTATGTGGAGTTCGAGCGGGACATAGCGTAGTTACCCATCTCTGCCTAGTGCACAAATGTCGATCCTAATCAATATCCATGACGCCTTCTCTGGAATATTGGAAATTACTACAATGAACAAAAAAGAAAAGGGATCGTCGTTGTCGAAGGGATTCCGTCTCTCGTGAGAGCAAGCGCTACAAATATGACATTCGTCTTTGAAAATGCTCATTCTACAGATAAAAATTCAGAATTCTTTTCCTAGTTTCTTATGAGAAAAAAAGGATTTGGTAACGATTCTTACATCTATGTTACTTCTAGTTCTTGCCAAGATCTTTTTGATCATAAATATAACACCTTGAGATTGTTGTAAGGAGATCTGTCCGATAAAGAATAATGCTAATTCCATGTAAGCTTTTGATAGAAAAGCATAGAGATCTGAGGATGTTATTCGGAATTGCGAGAATGCAGAATCTATTTGTCGGATAATGATTTACATGAACATCAGACAAGAAGAATTATGTAAGACTCCTAAACTAAGAAAATCCTGAGAAGATTCTATTTGCATCTTGTTAGTAGGATGTCAAATCTAATCCCTGTTGTTGGAGAACTTTGAGGATGCTTTTCACGTCATAGGACAATTCAGGTGGATCTATAGAATTTGATCTTATATATAAAGAAGAATGTTTATCTGTCTGTCTGTTCTTTATGCATTTCTACACCGTACGAGCGAATGCAATCAAGCTTTCCAGGAATTCTCCTCTCATCCAGGAGAAAGTCAACACCTAGTTTTTTGCAAAAAGAATTGCTCCTTTGCTCACAAAAAGCATACTTATGTTGTTGACCAATCAGATTGCAGTATTCGGTACTATAGAAGTACTAGTGACCAGCACTTCATGAACATACAGAAAAACATGGAACTACAGGTTTTCAAATCTTTTTGATTGGCCAGAAACCAATAGGAATCGAGTTTTTGAGAAAACGAATATCAAGCTGACCCATGTCATACACAAATCCAGCTTTTGGGGAAGTTGATTCCTGGAGGTCGTGTGAGGCAGGGATTTCGAATAAATAGCCTATGACGTTGAAAATTTGTGCGTCATAGATATTGACTCCTTAGGTTGTTAAAGGATCTGTCCTACAAAAACCTTTCTGTCTGTCTTTCTTTGAAATCAATCTGAATTCAGTGTGATTTCAGTAGTACAAAGTGCGACGTTCTAGATCAATTAGGTGTGTCGTAGTGCTTAGTTTCGATCAAAACGGACTTTTCTTGCAACGCCGTCGAATAATCGATTGTCCATGTGGGCTCTTCACTAGAAACATAACTATAAAGCTCTGAAACCAGGAACGTAACCAAGTACGACCGGAGTCGATCGAGATGGGTATATACTCTTATAAATACTTGGCCAAGATAAAAAGTTGATAGAACTCATAAGTTTCATCAAGTTCTTCCTGATCTAGACGTGTAAGGACGAAGAATCCTTCACTTCTGACCGATTTTTTAATGTCAGTATTTCATATCCGCCGAGAGCGAGAGTAGCCGTGGCTGAGACTTAAAATACGTTCAAGAGCCATAACCAGGACCGGAACAAAAAACAGGGTTTTATGCGTGTGTACTTCCTACTGATTAGGTTTTCTGACATGTTCTCGAGCGCAATAGGAGTTTTGCTTGCATATATTAAGACTGAACTTTTTCGAACAGCGCCGGGTACTTCCGCTAGTGACTTATAATTTTGAAATGCGAAGAAGAGAAATACTAATCTAATCGAAGCTCTCCATAGAATAACATATGGATATGTAGATTTTATACATAATTTAGAATGCGTGGATCTTAATTAGATAGTCAGAATTTGTTTTTGATAGATGCATAATTGAATTCTTTACAGATTTGTATTTATCTTCATTTAAAACAACAGAGAAATGCGAAAAAAAAACATTTCAACAAGTAAATAAACGATTGGATTATTGAAATGTACTTTTTACATGCTTCAAGTTCTTGAAATCGAACAAAAACAGAACTAATAAAAATGCGTTCTTTTTTAATTTTAATATCTCCATCATAAAATTTATATTCATATTTGCTTCTCTGATAGGAAAATTTTATCTGGAACGTGTTGTAAAATTTTTCTTACGACTCATTGCAAAAAAGAAGTTAGCAAATCATACGACTGTCTCAACTTTGATGTATAATCTATTTATTCGTCTTTTTCGGAGTCTGTTGTATTACTAGGGTGTAACAATAACTGTGTTATGGTCGCATATCTTCAATAATACCTTATTCTTTTATGAGTATTAAAGATTGACTTGTCATTCTGCTAAAAAACAGTAATCTGTAGAACGCGGCGGTTCCAAAAAACTAATCGAATTGGAACTGGTCGAACCGACAATTTTTACACATAACTGGGCAGCTAATATTCAATTGTTGCATAATCTTAAATTGGTGAGATCAAATTACGAATGAGTCAATGGTAAACTATGGGTATTTCTCACAATTGGATGAAGGGCGAAGTTAGACATAGTATCCAATGTATACTTTCATGATCAATATGATTTTGAACCGTGTCTTTGTTAAAAGCGAGGTTTTTGGCTTCATGTATGTATTACGACCAGGGAAAGAAGAAAATAAAAGAAAAAAAAGAATGATGGGAGTTATTAGATCCTAGTCAATTCTGCTAAATAAATAAATGTCATTGGAGTGCACAGAAGGAGTGATCTCTAACTCAATGTATTTATATGAGGTTTGAGTATTCGTGTCAACATTTCAAATGACATAATATTGAATGACATTTTCTTTTGTAAGTATAGTAATATAAATATATAAATATAATGTTCAATATATCAAAATCAATTAACGAGTCTTTTTAAAAAGATTTTTTTTATTAAAAGTGATGAACATATTTGAAATAAAAAGTATAGTAGGAACTAATGGGATGTTGTCGTGAATGTTTATTTGAGACTTGTCATAAGCCACTGATCAGATGATCAGTCAGACTATCCTGAATATAAATCATGTAAGATGCACTGAAGTGCATGAATACATCTTGTGTTCAACGAGCAAAGAATAGGGTAATAGATAACAAATGTATAATAGTTAATTGACACTTTTTTGGTTAATCAACTTATTATTTGAATTAGTCGAGTATAGTGTTTTTCTTTTTCTTAATAAAAAATTTTGTTGGTCGATTTCGAAAAATTGAATATACTATCCTTCTGTTTATCTTATTAATCATACAAAGAAAGATGTCATTCAATAGTATATTGTGTGAAACATCCACGAGGGTACTCAAATTTCTTAGAGATACATTTAGTTAGAGATCACTCTCCGTCTGCATATGTATATTAATTTTCGTCTAGGTTCAGAACATAAGAAACACCCTGTAATTCTTATTGATTTATTTCTTTTCTTATTGATCTAAACGATCAAACAAATTAGATTTCAAGACTAGAATTAAACGACTGTAATTATTATTGGAGTTATTTTCAACGATTAGCAATCCATTTCTCATTTTGCATTATACTACTGTAATTTATATTGATCGAAACCAGCAAAAATTTTTACATGAATTTTGAAAATTTTACAAAATCAAATTTAATAATACTTGTCTTTTTGTGAATCAAATTAAATCGTAGTTCGTTCAAAAGCATTAAATAACTATCATCTTTTAAAAGTATCTACTAATATGTTAACATACCAAGCCAAAATACAAATTCTACTTATGAAGGAACATATTTGAAAGTATTCTCTAAAAAGAAGATCAGAAGTATTTTATCTTATAAGGACCTTGATGAATATTATCAATATCAATATCTTAGATGCTCCCCTTGAAGTTTGAAAAAAAAAAGACAGCATCAGACTTGTTCAGCTTTGTACGAGTTAAACGAATTCCTAAATTTTTCATAAATGAATTGTAGAAATTGAACAAAACCTGATATTAAAAAATTGTCTTCTATCATAAATCAGCATATCAAATATATGTTTCTGACATAAGTATCTACTTGACGGATGAGTTGTTATTTTTAATATTTCAAGGAGGGTCATTATTAATTTTTCAACATGAATACAATCAAAAAACTGCACACTCTCATCTGTAGTCAATTTTATTCTGATCAATTTTCAAATCTACTATTCCTGTGAGTATGACAAAAGAGATTCAGGACGATTTCAAAATATTCGTGACGTTTGCTTTTCTTTCGAAATAGATGCTATTTTGTGGAAAACTACGATCTAAGAGAAGTATTGATGTATAACGGGTAGAGTTTTCCAATCGTTCCCAGAGCGTGACAGGCAGCTTACCAACGTTCCCCTTCCTTTGTCACGGACCACCTTGTTATAATATATTCCTTACTTCCGTACTGCATTTCTGGATGATGAAGAAATACGTCTCAAAATAGATAGAATAAAACAATTTTTATGCGGTCAGCAACAGCCGATACATCGTATGTCGTATTTTAATCTTACAGGGATTGCACGAGCAGCTTTTTTTTGCTTGTTGAATCGAAGAAAGCTTCATATGTTGTAGCTGATGCGATGTAATTCTACGTTTTCGTAAACATGCATAGTTCATGTTGAAAAAAATATTAATTGCTCTCATTGAAATATTAAAAATAACAACTTATCCATTAGGTAGATACTTATGTCAGCAATACACATTTGATATTCTTACTTATGGTAGAAGATAGCTTTTTCCTATCAAATTTTGTTCAATTTCTACAGTTCATTTATGAAAAACTTAGTTATTCATTTAACTCGTACAAAGATGAAAAAGTTCGATTCTCTCTTTTTTTTAAACTTCAAGTAGAGACCCTAGATGTTGATATTGATGATATTCGCCAATGTTCCTATCATATTCAGTATGGGGTTTCGATGATTTATGGGATGTATCATCTATGTAAAAAGATTGAAACAAAAAATTGGCATTCATTGTGCAATAAGAAGACAATCATTTACGTATTTTATCGCGCGCTATTTCTACTGGTTGACCATGTGAATATTTTGTCTGATGATCCGATGTTTTATTACGACAATTCAATCCATCAAGGCACGGAATAAGAAAATCAGGATAGCCTGGATGTCGATACTTTGCTCGATGAACAGGATCATCAAGTTTTTGACACGAACTCTTCAATGAGCATTGTTCTACTTTGTGGGATTCATGTGTTAGATTGGGCTCTTTGTCTTTATTAGAACAAAGTTCAGAATACGGATAAGGATGAGAATATTTTTTCATATGTTTCGATGATTTTTGTAATAGACAATTGATCGAATAGGGAGATGGTTCAAGTTTTTTATCATCATAACCAAACAAGCCAAGAACAGCATCTTCTATAAAAAGTGGAAAATAGTAAGAAAAGTTAGTTTAATTTACTTTATTAATATTAAAAGTACTTAAAAGTGTTTTTTTTACTTTTTCTTCTATATGAAGTTTATTCGCATATAGTTATATCAAACACATTCCTAAGCTAATAGTTTCCTTAGTAGATGAGATAGCATCATCTATATGTTGATATTTTGAAGAGCTCTGATTTTAATATACGTTTTTTCCAGTAAAGACTACTTTTTAATGACATAGTTCAATACACAAAAATCTATCGTTGAAATTGAGTCGAAATTTCTGGAACATTCTTTATATAGATGAAAAAGTATACTAACGAGCCAAATGCGTCTTTACTCTTACTACGTAATAGTGCATGTTGTTTTAGGTTGAGATCCAAATTGTTAGCCTTATTAGAAATTTCTCTATGAAGATGTTAGGGTCTTTCAAAAAATTTTTAAACGAAATCTTCATATATTTGTACAGAATTACAATAGAAAATTACCTGCCCCATAGGTTTTCTTCAAAGGAATAGATGGGATAGCGCAAGCAAAGTTTAAAATCTCTGATTGAGTAAAATGGATCATGGCTAACATTGGTTAATTCATAAGCTTTGAGCACTGATTAACCAGTCATCATGTATGGATATTATTAATTAACTGGATAGTTAATCTACTTCCCACATTTTATTTACTTTATTACCTTCTATGTTTGTATGAAGTATACACTATCAATAGTTGACATTATAAATAAAGCAACAACAGATAAGTAATTGTTTTTTTTTCTGGATAACATAACTCGAAATCAATGTGAGTTAATAAAATATCAGTCGGAATTGTTTGATTTTCGAAAACAAGCAAAAACTAAAAAATGTTTAGCATGATCTTTTACAGTTACTGGTCACAACTCTAGATCAGAGTGAAAGTGATGAATCAAAGATTTGACGAAGAAGGTGAGATAGAGGATCAATAGAATTCTTTAAACATTCACCCCACTATTGATCAAGTATGTCAAAGAAATGGTTTTCTCTCCATATTCGAACGCGCAATTCTAATTCTTCGATAACTTTTTTGGAGTTTCTTTTCTTTAGAAGCTGTAAAGATTCGACTTTAAACTGTTCCAAATTGAAATAGCACAATGATTTTGGGAAATAGAGACCAAAAAGAATAAGAAAATCTAGATTCAAATTCAGATTTGATTCGCGCCGAAAACAAGACGATTCTTTCATTGTCGTCAGTAAAATATACTACATTCAACATAAATCTTTATATAAATTTTTATGGGGTTTCACACAACACGTATTGTTGTCGAGAAATTCGGAAAGCTTCAAAAAAGAGAACTGACTTCTCTTTTCAACCAAACTTTATCTCAAGTACCTCATCTGGGTTGGATCGATTTTGCATTCATTTAAAATAAAAAGTTATTTTACGGCACTTTAACCAGAACTAATAACAAAATTTGTGCTAAAACATCTTTTTAATGAAGTTTCAGGGGAATAATATCCTTAAATTTTATTAAATGTCGAACTATCGTTAAAACACATCTGCCTTCTTTTTACTGACATTATTTCCTTCTATGTCTTTAAGTATGGTATTTTTTCTCATGTATTGTATATTTTAAATCGAAACTAATTTTTTGAGTTCAAAAAATTTTCTTTTCGTGATCGAAAACAAACATATTGTCTTTTGGTTTCGATTCAAGTCAATGTAGGTTTGTTCTCCATTCTGCATCAAGTTTCGAAATTAGGGGTAATCGTTTAACAAGATCGTACGAATAGAGCACAATTAGTTTTCCACATACGTCTCTGCATTCTTTAGTTATCGACATGAACAGAAAAAAAAACGAACATTTCACTAGTCGGGAAGCAAAATTTGGTGCTCATGCATTGGACCAATTGCTTTTTTGCACTAGATTTTCTTCATCAAAAAAGAAAACTTTTTATTGATAACTTAACAATCAATAGAAGTGAGTATATTTACTCGTCAATACCCCTTCAATCAGTCGATCTAACAGGTAACAATAATAGCTCTAGAAAAACTATGATAGTCTCTATTGAAATATCTAAAAAATACGTTGATTTATTGGTAACCAAGAAAATTTTTCACTTGAAACAGATTTGAACTTGTTTCTTGTGATTAACTCTTTGGATTATTGACCAATTTAGGAAGAGGTACGTAATTCTTACTCTTCGTCTACTTTTATCTATCGACGTAGGTTACTCTATTGATTGATAATAAATAAAAGAAAATCAATTTTTTACAATCCTACCCCGTGCTGTGGTTGTCGTTTTTGATTCAGGAGAACTTAAACATAAAGAGAATAGATTATCGATTATTATACTGTCTATGATGCAAAAATACCTGCCAATTGGTTTTAGTGGTGCTGGCACTTTTGTTACTGCTGCTGCTGGAACTTTTGTTACTGCTGCTGCTGGAACTTTTGTTACTGCTGCTGCTGGAACTTTTGCTACTGCTGCTGCTTCTGGAACTTTTGCTACTGCT